AGTCAGATTAGCCGTACCTACAGGACGCACGTAAACAAAATCCACTTTACTTGTATGGGCCTAAATATTTAGCTTTTTAAAGCGATTCGATTTATAACTCTCAAATTTTTTCATGTCTTTCCCACCTTATCTGTTGGAACACGTTGTCGTTTACGCCAATATAATGTTTATCTCATCAAGGCAGTCCAACTAGTTTCTAATGAAAAAACCAGAGCTCTTGTCTTGTCTAGAAAGCAAGACGTGTTCATTGGTAGCAAGACGAGTGAAGGTCTGAATGTGCTCATGTCCCAAGGGGTGTTGTGTGGTATTCGTGCACGACGATATTGAAAACAGACGTGCACTAGTGATGACTAAATTCATGGTAGTGTAAATTGGGATGCGGGAATAATTGTGTTCTGCAAAAATAGGTTTTCCTACTGAGCCGCATTTGCTAATCCGTTATCCATTCTGTTAATAAGGCAGAAATTGACCATGGTTGCTTTGATAAACAAAACAATTGGGCAGGTTGCAAATTCTTAGAACTTACTTAGAAACGACTAAGATATTATGAGTTCAGAGAGTTTTGGACACGAGCGTTAAGAATATTAGTTTGATAATGTTTGGACCTTGACACAAGAGCTTCGTCAGACCAGGTAAATCAGTGTGCAATTGGCGTAGTATTTTATAGCAAACAGGGACGAAAATCGTGTTATCCGAGAATTGAGCGAAGGTACCATTGCATTCACTGTTTGTGATGTTACCTCAAGTGGTTCAGTCACGCTGGGAATAGTCTAACTGTTCCTTTCTGTGAACCAAAACTCTGGTAGAGCTAAGTAGACGATACTGTTATACTTGTTAATCTGTATAAGAAGAGCGATTTGCTTGATAAATTTAACTAACTTGATGCTACAGTTTACTATTGATTTGGACCATTTAACGGCACATTATCACTTTCTTACTGCCTGGCTCAAAGGAATAGGGGAAATATAAAGACGACCATATATCGCAAGATACTGACGGCGTTATTCACTACACTCCGGGTCATCCGAAACTGGTTTACGCTGGGAGACCTTCAGCACTATTCTACAGCGCACAAAGCCTGTGCACAATAGCGGTGGAAAAAGGCCTCGTGGGAAATGACATTGGGCGAACTATTTGGTAGTGTTTCCCTACGACGGCTACTCAAACGCTGGATACACAAAGTGCTAAACCGACAGTCAGTACCCACAACGGAGTGCATAGGGACGGTAGGAATGCCGTACAAGCTAGTCTTTTCGGAGGCAATTCGGAGGATACTAAACAAGGAAAATATAAGTGTGATCTTCCAGGGAGGTCAAACGCTACGTCCACTGCTGGTGTACCTGGTCCCCATCTCAAATATATGACGGCTAACTGTGTTTTCAAAAATTAAGTTAAGTACTGTACAGAGATATACATAAGCCAAACTGCGAGTGAGTTACGCCCACGAATCTCAGAGAACAGGAGGCTCATTACAAGACCATCGGCAAACGAGTTTGAATACCCTGCAGTCATGAGTATTCGGTCCTGGCTGTGCATATATTAGACATGAGTCAACAGATCGATTTGGATAAGGTAGCGGTCAACTCCAAACAGTGAAGATAATGGGAAAATAGCATTCTATATTGAGAGGAGAGCGATCTTAAGCCGCCAAACTGACAGGCCTCAGTGCGCGGATCAGATTAGAAATGCAAGTTGACTCTCATTAATACCACCGTCGTCTTATCCATCAATGATGACATGCCATCTAAATTCGAATATGCAGGTTTCATAAATTTGACTGAGAGTATAATCTTGTAACTATCTGAAAATCGAGTTAGAAGACAGCCTTAGACATCGGTCTTTTAGGTAACCAGAATGAAGATTGAGTAATATAACATGCTATTATTTGGCTTGTTAGCAAATCCGATCTTAAGTATACTTAATAGCATACTTGCATTCCCCTGTTACCAGGTATTTCATTACCAAATTACAATATCCATATTTTAAACTTCATAAATAAAACTTATTCTACACTGAGTTATTTTCTAAAGCTCGCGCGTGATATCTGTACGCGAATCATTAGTTTCTGATTGATTGAACGCATTTAGCTGACTGGCATAACTTACGTTTCTAATCGTTTCTAATCGTTTCAGCGTCTGTCATGCCTCATGCAGGTAAGCATTTGTTAGTCGTGCACAACATTTCACTTAAACTTCAATGAACAGTAAAGTGTTCGTTCCAAATTCATCTGGGTGTCCCAACTTCACATGCGTTAACTAACAATGTGGGCTTGCATTTAGTATATTGCGATTTTATGTAACATACATGCGTATATTTCCCGAGGGGCTGAATATGTTTCCTGAATACTGTACATGTGATTCTGTATTATCGTATACTGTAAAATGGGCGCATACAGGAATATCATGAACAATCCTGCACTCTCCGGAAAGGTATTTTTTGCAGACCAGAAGGGGATTTTCACAGTTGGTGTCCGGATACAGTGCCATTAATTTCCTTTGCTACCGAAAATGTCTCAACCACATTACAACTAATGGACAACTTGAATATGCACAATATTGACTCTAACGGTGCGCAATTCAATTGTTTCTGTTGAATGCCTACATAAACGAGAGTGCACATAATTCGACTGCAGATCTTTGCTGTAAATAGAAGTACTCACATGTTAAATAAAACAAATAAATATTTAGTTATTTGCTCACGTTTGGCCGGTCATATATCGAACATATTTCAATGAAATTTAGTTCATGTTCAAAATGGAGATTCATGACAATATGATGTGTTGTGAAATAAGCAGGATTGGATTTGATAAAATAAATGCTGTTGCTTACGAAACTTTGATTAAAATTAATCATTACCAAATGGAATCTGTCATACGACATCACTGCATCAACCGTGCTTATGTTCTCGAGATCAGCGTGTAACACGAAGATTAAACTAACTATATTGTTTATCATCTAGAAGTAGAAAAAAGGAATCATTTAGACGGTATGCCTGTTTTCATAGAAATTCCTGTTTATTGTGTTTACTGCTATGTATGCTGCCTGTCTCTTCGTTGCTACTTAGAAACCGGCTATCTCTTTCATGCGCTTGGTCTGCTAACGAATGATGCCCACAGCTTCGTGCAGAGTAAGTCAAGCAAGCGAGCTTGTGTAAGCTCACAAGTCCGTCAATATGCGTTTATGTTTAAATTTTATGTTTAAATTTCGACTATTCTTCTGTGCATATTCTTGTAACGTCTGCTCAAAACCCATTAGCTACACCCATTTTACTTGTTTTGCAGCCAAGCACACTGAGCAAACCACACGAACCATTGAGATGGTTCGATAAGTTCGCTCTAATGCGCCTCGTGGTACGGCGAATACAAGCACACGTAAAATGTTTAAGCCTCACTCAGTGTCATTTCTCTGTTGAAGCGGTTAATGAAAAATCGGCACATCCATGGTACTCTATTAGTACATATGCATCATGATATGGTTTGCAACTACACCAAGTTGTTTTAATCAAAACAAGTGGAAAGGCTTTGAAGGTAGTTCTCATACGCCAGACAAAGGTCACATGCGATGTTGTTGCTAGCCAACAAGCTTCATTTACTTTTTTAATCGGCCTGTATATGTTAAGTAGGAGTAGGAATAAAAGAGCTGATTTATGTGAATTATCCTTTGATGGACTGCATTTCATATATGAAGTAGAATATGGATATGAAAGGGACGATTTATAAGCATCATTGAGCACGTATATGTCAACCATCAGTTTGTCTGCTGTTAACAGAAAGGTTGGTGATTCGTGCACACCCGGTGGTCGCGGTTGGGTTGTAGCGTAGAGGCAACGAGCTTGTCTCGTAATTTTGCTGCGCGGGTCCGAATCCGCGTGGGAGTGGGCCTTCTCGCGGTATACTCAGTCGGCGTGTGACTTGTGTTTGTGGCACGGCAGCGAAGCGCCGTTACGGCGCACAGCTGACATTAATTACTATCAGTTTGTTCGACACTAATAAGCCAAACACTAAATCAACTAGACAGCTGGGTAGATGTCACACTTGTAATGTACTATACAAATACTTTCTCGTAAATAGAAGTGTATACTGCTGGTTACGCGTCAATTACAAGCTGGGCAATATCAGGCAGTATTGTAACTACTGAAATAAACTCTACGATACCCATGATAAAATTCTCGATGGCAAAATATGGTTCTTTGTAAATGCCGACCAGTTATACGTATTTGTTGAACTTCAAGTTAGACTGACTTGGCTGAATGCAAATTCGGTCGAATGGCACATGTACAAAATATTGAGTTTCGGAAAGAAATTTATAATGATTGGAGAGATTCGCTAACGGATGAGCGAAAACTTAAGTCATCTACGTAGTTCAACAATAAAAGATTGTGGTGTATGACAATTCAGAGAAATAATTGCTTGTTATCTAATCAAGATTAATCCTAACAGTGGGAAATATGGTACTAGCTAACGAAGTTTGCTTTTTAAAATTGGGTGGGAAGTTAATATTAAAATTTTTGGAATTGCTAAACTACCGGCATCCCAATACTTTTCTCTGGTTGTGTCCTACGGATGACATCAACACGTATTCGTAAATACGTTAGCAATGTTAAATTATTTGCTACCTGTTGTCTGTTTCCAATCATTATTTGTATGTTAGTCAACTACCACAAATAAAACGTTTTTACATCCGTTACAATATTAGTGTTGGAAGACCTCAATGAAAAAAACTACAAGACTCTGGCGAACCTCCTTAGACACCACCACTGTAAGTGTATACCACTTGCAACAATAAATGCTTTTATTTCGTCTGTTAGGAGTTAACTTGATTCGGCAGAATTATTCCAAGTTTTTCCATCATCGGATGCAATATGCGCATTAGTGGCACAACATCCTATTTAATCGGATTTAATGTAGACTCTAGCCTGCTTAAACACTGCAGAACCTGCACTATGCAATATTTAAACTGCACTCACTTTTTCCCATACAGCTTCCTCACTCGGTGCGGCAGATTACGACGCTATGCTACAGACTTGGATGCAGATTGCTATAGGTATGTTTATAAACTGATGACTTCTTCATGATTTTCTCAGACGGTAACAGCCCGGCATTTTAAATGTGGTGAATAAATTTAGAAGATAAATGTTTGAAAGGAAACAAATGGGGAACCTTTTAGCCTTTACATACTTTCATGTTACTTAGAGCCCCATATTTCTTATGAACCGAAATACAGGGAAATCTCATCGTTCCCTTACACTGGTGCAACAAATGATTCTAGCGATTAGTAACATCAACTGCTTAATCGCATTCAAGTACCATTGTAGCATTCATTTTTATATTTCTTCTATTGGGTTAAATGCAACATGCATTTTACATTGATTGAGAAAATATTTCGCTCATAATTTTGCATCTACTAATGCACAACCTGGTAGTCAAATAATCAGATTTGACAAACACCGATAAGCCAAAAATTTTGTGCTTTAACTTTAACTGCTGCAGTTGTGAGAAGAATCGAAGAGGAAATATTTTGTATTGTTTTTAGAACAGAAATAAAACTGTAATATCCAATTTTAATCGTTTTGCGGTGGGTGTAGACGAGTCTAGGTTATATTTAACTAAGCAATTTTTAGAGTGAAGTCTCTTTCATCATTTCAAGTGAATCTCAAGTAATATTGCATGAGGTAACTCAAGGTAATCTGTTAGTTTGCCTGCCAGTTAACCATTTTTGTAAGATCTTTAATGACGTTAATATTACAACCTAATATCATCTGATTTTGTCCAATAACTTGATGCTTCAAAGTTTCCCTTATTTATAGTCCCTCACATATGCACTCTGTAAGTATAAATGCTACCCAATGCTACTTTCGTGGTGGGAAGCACATCAGCATCACGTTTAGATCTGTTAACCATGTCGGTCACAATTTCACTAAGGAAAATAATTATCCATATGCAAACAATTTGTGTGGCATATTCTGAAGGCTAAAAGCGGTACATTAAATTCCGCTCGTTCACTGAAAAATATCAGTGTACTATCATCATGGTCAAACTGACATACGTATGACGTGTAATATGAACAAGCTGCAAATTTATGCCTTTCAGGATCCGAGGAGCTCACAGAAAGTTTCCTCCGTCGAATGTATAATTTAGCTGGAGCAAACAGATGTAAGTTGCTTCAACAAAACGGTTAATGTTATCAGAACAAAATAAATGCAAGTCTGGCGTGATTTTACGGTTAAGGAGAAAAATGTGTCCATCATATTTTGCAACGGACAATTCTTTATTCGGTGTTGCCCTAATATTTAATATATAACATAAGTACTCAGGTTATTGTCGCACTCTTGACATTCACCATAACCAACTCAGCTGTTTATCAAATGGAACCAAAATCCTTGTGGTTTAGTGGCCACGCCTATTGTTTAACTAGGTCCGTGAATATTTTCGGTATTCTAATTCCTATAAGGCTTTAAGATCAGTGAAATTATGATTTATAAGCAAACCTTTAGCAAACAGCGTAGGATGGATTGAAAGAAAAATAAAACGTGAAAACTATTGCTCATAAAAGAACCTGCATATTGCACGATCATTTTAGGGTCTGTAGTAAAACGCCTTTAATTATTCCTTCTTGGATATTAAGGAGTCTCTTATATTGTTTACAGTTTTTCTGTACGGTTGCATCATTTTTATCCACGTACCTCAAAATATAGCATATGCATGTCATTGTGACATTAAGTCGTTTTCAGAATTGTGATAATAAGGGATACTTATATACTTGCGTTGCGACGAATTTCGAAGTCTGTGCACGCGAGGGGGAAATATTTTTTTAATATTCCAGTCGGCTCAACTGCGCTGTCAGCTAGAATTGCGATGTAATTTTATTGCGTTTTCAAAGATGCTGGCAAGTGTAGTCTCTCTATTTTTATGGATTGAGTACACCAGATTATCAGGCATTGGGTTATACCACAAGGACATCAATCGGGTGGCATATGTGGCAGGAAAACCTTGCATACAGATGGCATCAAATGAGAAGGTTGACTGTGCAACACAAGAAAGGATCACTAACTCCACCTTTCAGAAACTTACTAAATCAAATGCAAGAATGCATTTGCTTAAGTGCTTTTGAGAAGTCCAGCTTTACGACATATACAGAGACAACAGCATCGAGTTATTCCGTGCATCATGCATGTGCTGTCAGTATATTCCTGGTGCACGACGAATTCCGGCAAATTCCGTGTTACTCCGGAGCAAGACTTTTGCTACCCTGCTGTTCCCGTATGAACGCATCAGCGATAGTGGAGTCTATGGCTGAAAATGAATCATCGTGCAATTCACTGGCAAGGTATAAGATGGTCAAATTTTATTCGGTAAATTTGCACTTCGGTTGAAGGAATAGATGTACGGACGATACAAGTAAAGGGTGAAAATTCCTACGAAATCTAGCCGTTTCCAGTAACTGGGTATCAGCCGCCGAATGTCGGAAAATTCGACAAACTAAATAGTATTTCGGTAGTAACTCTAAGCGATCTGCTTTTAATAGGGCACGCAAGACCGTCGAGTTGCAGGGTACCATAAGGCTGTTTCTAACTATGCCACGAGGAAGTTAATCTTGAATCCTTACAGATTAGCTAGTATATTGGAGAACATACGTGCTGTCGCAAATGGAGAAAGAGGTATTGATTAATGAAACGGAAACCATTTCTGGTCTGTTCGGGTTGGACTTGCGTAGCAAAGTCCTATTTGCATGTTATGCTTGGATACTTTTTAGCAAATAACAGTCTTGGTGGTAATAATATTTAAACTATATCGGCATCTACATTCATTCGTTCAACAGAAACAACATACACAAGTTCATCTATATGCGAAATTTTACCTTCAGTTGTGCGCGTATAAAGGAGATTGAATGATTTAAGCAGCGGCACGTCAGCAAATAGTCACTGGTTGTCAAACAGACGTTATATTATAGTCCACTTTCGTGTTTTCCGCAAGTTAATGGAACTCCGTTGTTTTGCTACAGAATGAGAGAACATTGTTTAACTTACCGGTTATAGCGTTTCCTCAGCCAATCTCGTTACTGGTAAGAATGCGAAAGTGGCATGTCAATTGCCGAGATCAACGGGACCACGGAAATGTGCACCTGATATAAGCTAGAGAGTCGGAGTAAATGTAGGAAACTACGTTCCGATGCTCAGATAGCAAGTCACATCTTGATAGAAAATCGTAGTCATTTTGTCGCTTTCACGCTTTTAATCCGTCTTTTTATAGTTTATAGTGATTCCCTGAATCACGCAGGCACATGCAAGCGTCTTTCAGAAGATCGTGCAGTAATGAGATGTAGTTCCATTTTTTAGTATCTAGCTCTTTTTACTATATCGTAAAAGTAGTTTTAATATTCATTAGAATACATTGGAATATTGGGAGCAGGTGGGAGATCTCTTGTCAGCTCCATCGATCACGAATTATCACAAGGTGGGTGCCTCCTGTCGGGAAGCGTCACTACTTCGAAAATCGTCAACTGTAAAGTAGGATCATCAGGGCCCTGCAATGTGTGTTTGATGGGTGTCCAGCAATCGCTTGAAACTTTCCATTGTCTGCGAGTCAGCTGCGTGCTTCGGCAGACTGTTCTAATCATTTATTACCCTGGAAGACAGAGCAACTTGCGGACGGGCGCGAAGTGTCCTCGGCTTAAGTAATTTCCACTTGTGGTCACGGGTTCGCGCTGCCAACAATGAGGTAGAAGAACAGTAACTGCTCACTCCAAAGCTTTCCCCTTAGAATGCGTCTGGTGTACAGCAGATCGCCGCAACGGCGGCAGTATTCCATGGAGAACAGGTTCAATTTCTTAAATGGAAGAGTGTAGTGGTGATCCCGAAGCTTCGCTATATATTTTTAACCTTGCCTCTGGACCATCTGTCAGATCATGTTTATATTTCTTTAGGGGTTAGAAGCCGGGAGAAGATATTCTAGGATTGGACAGACATGCCAAGCGAACGTGGTAGTAAAAATCTCCGGCGTAATTTTGACGAACTACCTTCGCAAAGTCCAGGGCATTCAGTTGGCTACCGTGACCTTCGTCTGCGTGTCAAGCGATGTCTTGAGATCGTGCAAGACGAATACTCCCAGGTCCTTCTCATATGTGACGCACTTGAGATATCCTCTGATATGGTGCCACCGAAGGTATCCGGACTTGTTATTTGCAAGTTGACGGAACAGTGAATAATGCAACACAGAGTAAAGTTGAAAACTTAAGAGCCAATTAATACAGAATATCTACTACGAAGGGTGGATGACTAAAACATGGGTATAATTAAGCATCAGGCAGATCCGCAGCCATCCTTAAAATATAAATGCTGAATGAGAAAGATGTTAAAACTTAAAATGCTCGATAAAAATAAAGAAAATAAACAAAAATACTAGCATTAGAATACTGCAGTAGCAGAATTGCAGAATACCGATGCATTTGCTTGAACATGTGGGCATTTTTTACTTGACTGCATACAGACTTATGTGTGATTTTTATTAGTTGACATAAATATTAATGGTACTGATGAGACAATACGAAATGCGTGCATTTGCCAGCCTTCGTCTTCTTACTGCGCTTTTCGAAATAAATATTGTTTCGTGTAGATAATGATTTCGCAACTAATATTTTAGACCCAAATACAGTCACATTCCAGCCTTATTGTTAGAGTTTACAGAGTATGGTGCAAACGTTTGAGTACATTGTTTACTTGGTCGCGGTAGAATCTTAATCGGAGCACTTTCAGTTGATGTACTTTGCCTCCATCTTCCTTTTTGTGAAGCTGCCGATTACACAAGCGCATTGCTTTCCAATTTGAGGATCTATTTAAAGTCGTATGTATCGGGTGAGTTGCATTATGTGGAGAGCTTTTGATCTGAGTGCAATTAATAAGCCTATTTTGACTGAATCTCACAAGTTTAGAATCAACACTTGATGTACAGAATAATGCACCTCGGCTCAAACCAAATATTTGATTCAATGTTAATTTTTTTCGGAACCATATTGTCACATGATAGCAGCCAATACAAGTACACAATATACTTTGCCAATAACTAAATCAGTATACATTCTGAGTTAACATAATAATATCCATGGATAACTGCGCTTCATGATTAGCCGCTTTATAAAAAGCTCCAAATTAAGCAAATATGTGTCATGTCCATGCTTTTCTTTCTACCGCATGCAACAAACTGAATAGGAAAATAATAAGTGACCCTTTGAATCATTCGCTGCATGTTCAGGAATAATACTTACAGCATCATAGGACTCTTGCATGAGCATCTTAACCGCATATTTGTCAATTCGCACCGTTTATATTCGACTGCTAATATCTAGTTTCTCCTAGTTGTGTTAAGGATCTGTGATTTGGTTAGTAGTCGTTGCTTGCAATTAAATTAGTGCGCCGCATTATACTTTAATCAGAACTCATCTAATATAAGTATTCAGTATTTGTACTCACTGCATTTATAATGTTCCACCATACTCCATTTTGGACAACTTGAATTCACAAGTTTTAACCTGACATCATCCTTCACAGGTATTTTGAAGAGGCAACATACAGTGTTGCAAACAGCCTTCGGTTTCGTCAACCAAAATTCAAGTGGGTTAACGCTCGCTCGCATAGAATGTATCATGTAAAAGATATTACTTATAGATTTTAGAAGGCTATGTCGCTATACCGATCATATTTGATCGACAAAATTTAGCGTCATTTTGAGGGTCGAATAATAACTTGCCAATAGATAGCCAGTTACTAAATTATACAGCACATATGTTTCTGAAAGATATGACTGTCACGTTATGCAATACCTGGAATTCAATAATCCGTGCTGAGTTTTATGTATTAACATTGCAGGTATTACGACCTTGACCAATCTAGCTTTGACATGTTGCTGTCCCAATTTGTTAGATTCTATCTATGGGTTGTTGGACGATAATATATCCTCTCAAAATTTAGCCTGGTTTATCGCGCCACCCGATATGCCTTATTTCCATTTGGTTGCCAAGGTGCGGGAGTTTATGAGGAGATTAAGCGTACTCAGGGGGTGTAATCCCCTAAGCAATTCCTTTTATAAAGGAATATCTGTACCCAAGATATAAAAAATCATTTACACCGGATACGTTTACGTGTGTCGTATAACTCAGCTGGGATACCGTTACGTTGCTAGACTATGAATGACAGCAGAACCAGCATTATGGCTTCAAGATTCTCGTTAAAGTTGAAGAAGAAGTGTTGATAATACATTTCACTGATTTGGGCGAAGTTTATGTTTCCGTCTTCTGGTGCTAGGAGTGAGATCGTGCCTTGTTTACGCTTGAAATGTCTACGTTTTACGTGTATGATCAATTCGTGGTTTTTGCATAGACTGTTCAGCTATCACTATTAGTTACCAAGTTCTTGTGATGAAATTATAATGTTGCGTACTGAATTAAAATTCATCCGTTTTGCAGTGGACTGTTAATAGGTAGGTTTTGGGTGTTAGCATCGGTTTTTCTTAAGCCCGTCTTTTCCAGACCAGGGGAAAATATGTACGGGGCAAAAGTGTAGCAAAATGCCGTGTGCAGCTGACCTGGTTTAAGATGTCAGTGAAGAAGTTAATTTTGGACAGCTGACTTTAGGGTACAAATCGCAGCCGCCTGTTCCGCATTTTATCTAGACCATCTCAAAGCACAAATTATGCCTGCGTAGTTAAGCAGACACGTAGAGTATAAACATTTTTCATCGACGTCTTTTGCAACATTATGTAGGAAAGAGAATAGTCATGATAGAATTTTTAGTCATTTCGAATGTCATCTTGTGATGTTGAAATTGACAGCAATCTTGCAAGATATATATAGTCAAAGGGAAACTCGATGCTTTTTAATTACACACTCTTTCGGTATGGAGACGCGAATAATCACAAAAAGAAATTTACTTAAATGCTGTTTTGGTTAGGTCAGCGAAACCGGCTTGTCCACGGTAGCAAACACTGCCACTGACAACAAATAACTTCGTTTAATCCATTTTCAGTTTGGCATAATTGATATTGCAATACTGTCCCTAGTAAGACTAGCTTATTACCTGAAGTTAAGTAATAAAGTTCCAACCACGCAGGCCAATGACTACGGTTTCTTTACACTGGAATATGAGCAAATACGCTAGCAATCTGGTGGGATGCAACGCACGCCAGCCGCTGCCAGTTTGTTACATTGGGTCAGATACTTAATTATAAATATATCCCAATAACGTCGGATGCGAGACTTTAAACAGTTAATATCCTTAACACAAGCAATAACTTTACCGGCATCTGCTGATGATCTAGGTAACCAAATATCATAAATTATAAGTGAAATGTGCCATTTTGCTAAAGACTAAGCGTAGCAACAGTTGCTAATGTCAGAAGGAATATCGCTTTATTATCTACAACGGAATCGGACACAGGTAAATTGCAGAGCCTCTGCTATATCAGCTTTCTTACTGCACATTGCAAGTGCTACATTTGCGACAGCAATGTTCCCCCGCAGAACTGCACGCTTTGCTTAGGCAGAAAAAAGAAACTTTGTTATTATTTCTGTTAACAACTGATGCGCTGCATTTGGAAATGCTTAGTTTATATTTTGTGAGGAAACTAACAACATTCTTGGTGAAATACGGAACAAAATCCTATTCATTTTCTAGTTTTAGAAGCTTTTATTGCTTCACCTGATCTCTAGTTAAGCGATGGTCTAACCTCAAATTAATGGGTTGCAATAATAATATTAAATCTGGAAAGACTATCATAGCGATAGCAAAGATAATTAAACTACAGAATCAGTACTGCTCCTTACCAATGCCAAAACATCAGTGCGAGTTAAGCATTCACTCTGACTCATAGACTTCTACTCTTCCGCACGCTGTAACTAGAAGAACGTCCGCCGGTGCGCAGATAAAAAGGTTAATACTAATTAACTATCGTGCTAGAAGGCTGACCTACACCGCATACCAGCGTAGGTAGTAGTCATTTTTGAATACACCTGAGCAAAGTCATTCGGACTGACTAAACGATTACAGAATTTGTGTCACGGGTATTATGTTCCATTTGGGACAAATGTGCTATACAACGAAACACAAAATGTTAACAAATAGCAATATAAAATCACACGACGGGATGAGTTCATGGGGTTGTGCAAAGCTACTACTTTTCTAGCCCCCGTTAGAACACATTTATCCTCTCTTTTCAAGGCAGTTGGCTGCTCCTCTAACGCGAATCAATTATACAAATCTTTTCACTATTTATTTACAGTCACGATCGACGATTTTACTTTGCTTGAGAAACTGCTTGGTTTACACCAGGAAATTCACACACGTAAGTCAATACAACGAATGCAGGCTCTGCACCTAACTATGTGGTATCATTAGGGAATCCCATTGGGCCTCCGCGGACACTTGACCGCTTTGAAGTAATAAGCATCCAAACCCTTTAACGTTTAGGTTAAATATGTTGATATTCAAGCCGTCGGTCTCAAACAGAAATACATTTCTTACCAATAAAACATCCACGCATGCACTTGAGCCGAATCCCGTCCATGAAAATTAGACATTATGAGGTCTATCCAGCCACTTTCCTCATAGTTTCAGTTAGACAGGGCTGTCTAAATGTACCCCTTCATAGCTTAAGTAGTAGTTCATTGCATTCCCGAAAGTTGCATTCCTAAATGTTTGAGGGCAAACCGAACAGCCTGCACAGCCTCTATTTTGCTACCTCTAGAGTGTGTTTCATTGATTGCACATTGCGCCTTAGCTCAGAGATCAAGGGATGTTACAATACAGTTGGCTAATTTTGTTCATTTCATTTGGTAAAGAAGCCTATCCAACGCAGAAAAGCCGGTTGATAAGGCAATTAAGCAAGTTTTACTTCGAATTAATTTAAAAAAGGATTCAAGTACATAAATTAGTCGTTAATTTACGCCAACATAAGTGCTAACTTGAATAGGCGTATGATTAATTGCGAACCATTTCTAACAGCACTAAGCACGGTAGCCTGCATCTGAGTACCCTGGAGTAAAATAACGTGTACCAATAGAGTGTTTTCTGAGGCTGACATTTTCCTAAGCTTGGAAATTCAACCTGAGTGTAGCAAACACAACAGGAGAAGCAGTGCAGAGGGATAGACGTTGTCAGCTCACCGGTCGCAACAAACATTACATGCGTTTTGTCAATAGTTATTATCCAACTAAACGGGTTCGTTCTTGCTTTAAATAGATTCATTCAAAACAATGAATATCTACGTCGATTTGGTCAACCGCTTGGTAGACATCAAACCAGGTTAGTGCTATACTCAGCTATATTTCATTGATTAAAGCCTTAAAGCGTGTTGATCTTAGACCTAGAGCGAAAAGAATATCTGTGAAAACTAGCAATAAAATCAAACAATAATTTTCCGAGCTGTGTTTTCTCGAGGGAAAAATTTGGTAAAATAATAACAGTGGAATGCATTAACAGGTTTCATGCTAATTGTTGAAAACGTGGCCTCAAGACTAGAAACGTGTTAATGTATGGAATTAATGATGACTTGATTCAAATTATCGCCTAAAATCTTTCCAGGACATGAAACATTTTAAACCTAACATGTTAAACCGGAATATAGTCTGCATAAATCATTTAACTTTGTGTATGTGGAGGTGTACATTAAACCTGGACGAATTTTATACTCAACTAAACTTATTCCGTTCTTCTCTTCCGTTGCAGAGTCAACGTAAACTACCCAATTTCCCACCAGATACATGAATGAACATTCCAAATTTTTATAGTAATTCGTATATTTGTGTAAGGAAATTATGAATACAGGCATTGATTAATAAAACTTGCATCCGACTTGCCGATTTTTACTGCTGTATTTATAACCTTTCGTGATGGACGGCAGGTGACCTAATCGTATGATACAGATCATACCATTGTACGTTTCTTGGGGTTGTTCGTTGTCCACAGAGCCTCGAATACGACGTCATGTAAAAGGAAGTTATAGGCGAATATTTACGGCCGACAGTTTTTAATCAAGCCAATAAAGCTTAACATAATGTGGGTTCGTATGGATAGTAGTTCTTCCTTTTTTGCGCCTACATTTATTAGTGTAGCATATTACCTGATGGTTATTTTCGGCGGTTTTTCTTTCCAAGTTCAACGATTTTTAACTGCGTACTTGAACAGACCTCAATCTGAAGGGTCGAATGGTGTCCTCTGATAGATGGTGATGTTATCACTTTCACTTCAGTGGAGTATAAGCGATCGTCAAGGGGACTAAAAGTTTGGTCATCCAACTTTCTAGTGGCCGTATCCAAGTCGATGTCAACCTCAACTGCTGATTCCACTGGATCGCAACCTTTACTAACGGGCAGGAAACAACTGTCATCGTAACACTCGAATTACCTCCATGTCCGATGGAACCACGCAGGACTGGAAGCAATGGCAACTGAGTGCCACTGTGCACCCCACTTAGGTTGGGCCAACAAATATTCGAAAAATAAAACCAACAGTGACAGTTACAGTGCAATTTATCAGTGAGGTTAAAGTATTTACAAATCATGTAGGCGTAAAACAGCAGCATACTTTTGCCTTACATGATGCACCATTTGTTGACAGTGGCTCAGTGTCACGAAAGCGCGTGCTTCCGCAACAATCTGCTCCGAAAACTCTATCCTCCTCTCTGTCATGCTCAGAACACCAGCTGGATCTCCTTGGAGCATTTGGCTATATCTCCTCCTCATGTCTTGTTTAACGTAGGAGTTAATCATGCTCCAAATCCCTTCAATGGGGTTCAGTTGTGGTGATTACGGCGCGAGTCGTTAGCCACGCGAACGAGAACATTGGCAACATTTTCAGGCCAGACGTGTCCGGCACCTTTTGTAGTTTGACCCTTCTCAACCCCATTAGGTAGTTCCATGCTCAGGTGCAAGCGGTTCTTAGGCGAGCGAGCAAGTCACCGCTGACCAGTGCGCATTTCGTCTTCGCTGCCAAATCTGTTAGGGGGTTGTACAAGTGTGAAGCCCCATGCAGCATGACTCACCTGTTTTGGAGACACGGCCGTCCCCAACTGACAACTTTCTCAGGCCTGACATGACGGGCCCCAGTCCAACATGTCCCGCGACTCTTTCATAGTTCGACACCCGAAGGATTTTAACATGTTGGTCCACACAACACAAACGCGTAGGAGGGTGTGCACAGTTAGGCAACTTCCACCGTCCGATATTCAGCAACTTAACCGACTTGCTAGCTCGTCACATGTTGAAAGGCTGCAGGAACCCAAAAGCGACGCATAGATGTGATTTGTGCGACGGTCTAAAGTGTTCGGTTTGCCAGACGTCAAAAACGATTCATGTTCCAGTGAATTACTGGGTATGCTGAGTTTCGGCAGACCAACTATTTCCCTTTCATTATTTATAATGAAAACCATAAATCGAATCGTGTGCGAAGAACTTTTTCGTCCATGTTGCAAAGCTGAGCGGCAGGTGCGCTGCACATAAGAGAGCGGTCTGGTCGGTTTAGCTGCACTAACAATTACGAGTCGCCTGCGCTTGTAGAACATTAGAATAACAACGCAAGATGTACCTGCAGGTAATCAACTCCCAGATAGATACACCTTAAACCCTCTGTAGGGCACCTACCAAAAGCTTGAACAATAACACAGGTTAAATGAACTTTGGGAGGACTTCACAGAACGTCTAGGGAGTATACTTTCCATTGCTGTTGAACCCCATCAGTCCATCAGATGCAAATGTATTGTTCCGGAGCAACGCAGCTTTCCCATAGTCCACGGATTTCTAAGCACCGTCATTAAAACGGACATACGGCCAGGAACGGCACGCAAACTCGATCCTGCATAGTCGCTCACCTAAGTGTTATAATTGCGGTTAATGGGTTTTAGGGCCGTCAGAACAAAGACATTCACCGTATCGGACAGTATATGGACCAGATCTCAAGTTACATGGAACGGACAAGATAGCCGACCACAAAGGTTACGGTGTGAGTGTTTCGGACTTGAGGCGGCCTGATGGATATGAACCACAGTGGACCATTAGGTAAGAGTGAAGTTCACGGTCAGGTGTATGGAACGACATTGCATTTTTAAGGCATCAAATTGTCTATTGTAACATCTCCCTCTTTGAAAACACGTTCTCCAGACTCATACGAATGAAGCGCTGGGTTCACCTGTAAACATTACATAGGTTTAGTAGGCCGCGTATTTCTCCCAGTGACTCCGTCGCATGTCTCTGCGCACCTATCTGTCGGTTCAATACGCCCACAATTTTTGGTAGTTCAAATGTGTCCAGCGATATATCAAACGGCAACTCGAAAGTAGAAGTGATTGTTTGTTCGATTTGTCGTTTGCGTCACTGATAAACGTGCCGTATGACAGACAACGTTCTGACAGACACCACATACAGCACAGAGCATTTTATTTATCGTGCCACTGCAGGTTGCCAGATTTGGTGGTTTGGCCATGCATCCAACGCGTACACCGGCTCCGCTAGTAGAAAACAACTGTTCACTCCTGACGCCAGTAGCCTTTGCGTAACCTTAGAAAGTACTGCCTTAAGTGGAGGACGTGTCTCACTGCCGAACATGGCTTCCGCTGGGTATCTGCCGCTGGTAGATCGGGGTTTGGCGTAGCCCATATTACTTAACAGGAACAGGTGTATGATATCCACTGTGGGTCCTTCCCCCCGCAGCTTTAAAAGTAAACTATTGATGGTATCCACGAATCATTCTGCTTACCCGTTGGACTGGGGATGCCCCGGAGGCGACCGGCAGTGCTTGATACAATTACACTGGCAATAAACACCATTATCGTCGGAGATAAATTGCGAACCGTTATCGGAAACCGAGGTGTTTGGTGAACAGAACGGTACCGTGGCCGCTGTCGTAGTCGTGTTTATCAAGTATACAACCGGCCACTTGGTCTACGCATCAATCACAAATCAAAATACGGGCCTTGAACGGGACCAATTGTCAATTAAAAGGCCAATATACGTAACTTCCGGCTAAAGCTTTCATCCGGGACAATGTAGGTGCAAGTATCTTAATAACCTTGCCATTGAGGAAGTCCTAAACAATGCTCTGCATAATTCGTTAAACGCGCTGACGTTGAGCTCATCCCAGGTAGCCGAGCTGTTGACTCGGATTATGCTGATGATATCGCCTTGCTGGGTGACGGTCCACAAGTCGTCCAAGTTGCGATTGAAGCGTCAAGATATGGGATGACTTCCCCCCCAAGTGCAAAGTTCTTTCCCAAGACTTTCGGATGCCCGTACATGCACTCACTCTTGGTTGTGAGAGACTGAAGGTTACGGTGAGTTTTGCCTACCTGGGTAGTTGCATCACAGCGAATGGATCTACTGGAGACCATATTCATTTCGTATCCCAAGAGCTCGCCTCGCTTTCTCTAAGCTGAAGCACTTGTGGCGTCGCCATGACATCGGTATATCTATCAAAGGACGGGTTTATTGTGCGACTGTCCGCGCTGTACTGTTTTACGGTTGTGAGACTTGGCCTGTTCGTATCGCCGACCTGCGCTGTCTCTCTGTCTTTGAGCACTGTTGCTTGTGGTCGATTGCCCGTGTGTGGCCGCTGTACCACATAACCAATGTGTAACTTAGACAGCGTGGTTTGGATGGAGGCAGCCATTCGCTGGAGGAGCTCGTCCCGCTGCTCAGCTGGGGTGCCTTGGACACGTAATGTGTGTGCCCGGTCATCGTCTTCTGTGTCGCGCGATCCTCGCGGTTGCTAGACAGGCGCGGTGGCCAACCTACGACATGAAGAAGCCACACCAGAATTGTCGAGTGACGCATCAATTCCCCTTGGGTTTTCACCCGATGTAAGTAATGCATTTATGCTGCTATGGGCTGTGCAACGAGCAAATCTGACAGAGCGTTGTTACAAAATAAAAGAGCATTGGTACTCCCCTCGCGCACTCTGCGATTTGTGATACCGTTACACAGTCGCAAGTACTGTGACTATCACTTTCTGTGTGTGTTTGTTTGCTGTGTAACCAGTCGATTTTCAAAACTGAGTGTGTACTCCTGACCTACGTGCTTACTGCATATTCATGGTCATTTTTATAGTTCTTTTTGAGCTTTATTACGAAGGACCAAATGGCTAGTTCCATTTCAGCAAAGCCAAAGGCTTTCACATTTAAAGAAATGATGTCAGTGATTCGACGATATTAAGAAGGAACAGTTCGCTAACATCGGCGCAAAATTTCAGAGTTGGTAGAACACAAATCCGTGTAACATAAAAGAGGAAAGACGTTTTTGAATGACTGTGTTAAACGCACACCAAGACTGAAAATAAAGAATAATAGAAAAATGGGTAACGAATACATGAACGCACCTTGCTGGAAATAGCGTCAGTCAGCACCGAAAGGAAAATTCCATTATCCGGACACGTGATTCAAGAACGAGCATTACACTTCGCAAAAGAATTACAAAACACAGACTTTACATCGTCAAACAGTTAGCTATAGGCTTTCTTCAGTAGACGATCTTGTGTTTGGTAAACAATCGAGCGAAAACGATGAATCAGATAGGTGTGTTGCGTCCGATTAGTCAGAAAAATTGCCCGAAATACCTTCCAGCTACGCAGTTCAAGACATTTTTATTTCACATGAAACGGTTTGCTATTCAAAACGACGTCGGATAAAGGCTTTGTGTAAAAGGATAGAAATGCGCAGGTGAGAAAAGAAGGAAGGCGCGTATCACAGCTATGCTGTTCACTACCACATTGGAGGAGCGAGAACCGGCTGCAGTGATTTGGAAATCAGCTAACTCTTGAATTTTAGTACTATCAACATGAAAACTACCAGCAGTTTAGAAG